AGTGACCCGGTGCCAGCAGGGCCCCTTGGGGTGGGCTGGGAGTGGGGTTATTCCTCCCTCTGCACCCAGGGCACTGCAATGGGGTCTACCCACCATGGCCGCTGCTGCTTGCTTGCTCTGAGCGAGTCACCCAAGGGGCCCTGCCAGTGGCGTCTGGTCCCCACCTCCCCACCCAGCTGCTGGATTAACGAGGGGGGAGTGACCATGATGGGGGCAGCAGCCCTATCATGGTTTCCTGGAGTGTGAGCCCTTTCCTGAGCAGGCGGGGGGAGAGGCATACTGTAGGGTGGGGGAAGCTGCTATGGACCAGGGTGCTGGGAGGGCTTGGAGGGCTCTGGGCCCCAGTGCTGCTGCATGCAGTCCACTGCAGCGGGGCCCCCCACCAGGAAGGGGCTTCAACTCCTCAACACTATGACAGGAGCTGCTGCCCCCATCAAGGGACCTGCCCCCTCACTGCTGCAGTGGCCAAGCAGGGCCCCTGGGGGAGGAGGGCAAGGACAGGGGTTATTTCCTCTCCCTCCAGGGTCCAGTGGAGCAGTGGAGGGTGCAGCAGCGGGTTCATTCCACCGCTTGTCCCAAGGATGCAGGCAGACCCGGCTGTGGTCCCCTGGGGGCAGTGGGGGTAGAGGAGAGAATATCCCCCACCCCTGTCCCCTCTGACTCTGGGGCCACGCCGCTCTGCTGCTGCAGCAGTGAGGGGGAGTGCCCGGCAGACCCAGCTTGGGTCCTTGCTGGTAGGATAGGGAGGGAAGAGTTAAACCCCTCTCTAGCCAGACCCCTGCCCCTGCCTGTCCCTGCTCTAGCTGGGGGGCAGAGGGCCAGAGAGCCCAGCCCAGAGAGCATGCCGGGATGCTGGGGGACTCTGGTTTAAGTTAAACCAGCAAGGGATCTGGGACAGACATTGCATAAACTGGACTGAGCCAAATCAGTTAAGTCTGATGCTACATTCACCCAGATTTATCTCTAACTGGTTTTGGCCATTTTGAAATAGGTTTAGGTGTGCTGAATGTCTGTTCTGTTACAGGTTTAGACCAGCTTATGTGTAATGTCTGTCTAGCCTAGCAGTCTAAACACTGCAACTCAACACACATGGTGATTTACTAAAGTAAAAGTATTTTGACTGTAGATTCTTGCCAGGACGGTTATATATGGTTGTAAACGCTTTGTAGGGTTGGTGTCTACACATTTACTCACAAGCTATTAAGCTCGTTCTCTCTTGTACGTTTCCTGTGCTTTTACATGTACTGCCTCTATTACTTGTGTGCCTTTTCTCTGAGAATATGCCAGGCATGTTCATTGCCTGGTTTGAGCACTTGAATCCCAGGAAAATGTCTAATTTATTCCTCTGTTTTCAAATATTTGAGAATTACATTTTGCCTTCACAGGGACCACTGAAAGCCATGACACAACGAAATGGGCATTCTGGTAATTAAAAATCCCATAAAAGCTTCTCTTCCATCAAATATCAATGTACTAATTATCTTGCCCTGTCTTTCTTTGGGTACTCAGAAACTTTTTAGTACTAGGCTGAAAAATTATTTGCATTAAGCCAAATGCTCCTTTACTAATTCACTGAGATTTTTGCATTCACCAAGTTCCTTCGCATTTTGGAACTCAAGTTAGCAGAGAGAACTCAATGTGCAAGTATTAGCACGTATGATTTCCTTAGCACATGTTACCCCACAGCAGGAAATGAGTTTTCTTGCCTAGTCATTTGCAAAGTGGGAAGGCACTGCCTTCCCTGTGGGCTTTTCACACTTTTGGTGTACATTTATACTTGAACACAAACTGTCTGGGTTATATAACTGCTTCTGATAAAACCTGTCAAAGGAACGAACAGTAGGAACCAGTATTATCTGAAAATGGGCTCTCGATAATTTCATGTGGGTTTTCATCTCTAAATCAAGCATGGCCTGTTAGAGTAAATCACTGAAATAAAACCAGAAAACTGAATTTTTAATCATGAGATCATCGCATAAGAGGACTGGAATTGGTGTCATATTGTTATCTCATGCTTTATCCCTCTGTTGATCTTTCATCTTCTGCTTAAGCAAAAGGCAGGGAAGAGTGACACCTTTTATGGTAATTCAGATGCAGGTTTCCCTCGCTTTATGCAGGTTCTGTATGTGCGAATTTACTTTTATGCAGTGACCCTTTTTATACCAAAAATTCATTATACGCGAAGTAAATTCACTCTTACGAGATCGGTGTGACGGAAGCCTGCAGCCAGCTGCTGTGTGCAGTGCATTCTGGGAGTGACACACACCAAAATGTAGTCTCCTGTGTGGATCCGTGCTCCTTGCTTGTTGTCTGTAACCCGTGTTTCTGTAGTTGCCATCCCCATTATGACGTCTAAGCATCCCGCTAGCTTATCTCCTACCCCTCTTCCATGTCCATCAATGAAGCACAAGAGAACTTCACTAACAGTGGAGACAAAACTGGAGATTTTGAACCATGCAGAAGCTGGTGAGGGGCCCTCTGCACTTGGTGCGTATCAAAATTGTCTTGTAAAAGTGGTAGAAATGGGTCTGGGGGTCAGTACAGTCGAGGTCCTGGAACATATCCCTATTTGTTACATTGTAAAGTAGGTTCCCTTTATGCGAATTTGACTTATGAGCTGTTTTCCAGGAACGCATCTGCAGCATAAAGTGAGGGAAGCCTGTATACACTTTCAAAAGCAACCTCTTACTTGGTCAGATGTTATGACTAGGGCCTACTTTAAATTACAGGCCCAGCTCACAGCACGATGGGCTCCTTTAATCTTGGAGTTTGGTAGAAGGGCCTGTTGGCCCCACTGCTCATGGCTTGCTCCTGATGGTCAGGAGGCAAAAACTGTGGTTTAAAACATGCTGTGTTTTTTACCTCCTGTTCGGACAGTAGCACGTGGACCGACAGACCAGTGGCGGGAACTCTAAGATTAAAGGAGCCACCATGCCCCAAGCTGGGCCTGCTATTTAAACCAGGCCCTGGTTATGACAAGGCAAGCTGCTGCTTAGGAAAGCTTGTGCCTCTCTGAATTAGTTAGTCTACTAATTAGGTGCTACTCTGCCCTGCTTTCTGCCTGACTTCAGACTAATGTGGCTAACTACTTCTGTCTTCTATTTAGAGCGTGCCAAGCATTATCCCTTTAGCTCGGTTTCCTAACATGGATGGAGTTCCCTGTTTTCCTGCGCTCGCAGAGTTCTGACGCTGATCCCTCTTTCTATTATTTCCTTCAATGCATGGTTCAAGCAGGACATCAAAACATGTATACGTATTTCCACTTTCAATTGCTGCCTTCTTGAAACAGTCACATTTTTCAGGAACCCCCTGAATACCTTAAGCTCCAAAGAAGTGTAACAAAAAGAAAAATCTCTATTTAGACAGAGTCAGACAGTTCAGTACAGGTACCACAACATAGCTTCAGCATCTTCATCTCAGAATCAGATTCTTTAATGCCTCAACCTAAAGATAATGTTTATAGGCTGAAGACACTGATGCACATTTCCGCAGAATATGGACTATTGATTTTTATTTAAGTTTCATGTTTAAAGGTACAGTATCTTTAAACTAATTATATTGGCAGGGATGTTCCCTTTGAGAACTAATACTGCAGTCTGCTCCTGGGCAACATTCTCAGTGATGTCATTAGAAATTTTACCTAAACCCAAAATGGTGTTAGATTATAAAGCTGGGCCTAACGCAATAATCTACCTTATTCACTGAAATCACTGGCTATTTGAGTGGGGGGAGTAGCAATTTTAGTGAGTACTGCACAGCTTCTTTAAGGTGTGAGAGCAGAATCAGGCCTCTTGACTTCAATGGGACTATTCAAGTGAGAACAAAGCCCTGGGGTAAAGCTAAAGGCCCAGAGATAACCCCTGCTGGCACTCTGGAAAGAGCATAGACCTGTGTGCTCTGAAATTACTAAACCACATATTTATATACTCCTTGTTTTAGCTGATCTGATAAACACATGTGACCATTCAGCTGCTTCCTTCACTCTCTCTAATGTATTCCTTTGCTGACAAAATTACAAATCCTAACTGGAATTGGGCTTGGAAATTAAGCAAGTTAAAAACAAACGAATTACCTAAAGAGTATTTCCATATTGTTTTTCTGCTCACCCCCTGTACAAAACTTTCCTTTGCTGACACACAGGAACAAAGGCTTTGACGTAGCTGAACAAATTGTTGGATTTCCACAAGATGGCACTAAACTCTAATGGAAAAATCAAACCTAGTTTTTGTCTCCATTCTTGAAGAGGTTCAAGATAGATAACATGGTTCAAGAATGACCAGTATACAACAAACAACTTCAGCTTGTCTTTGAAAATGATATACATATTTTCTACAAAAGTGCTCCTTACAGTACGAGACGCAAGTGTTTGCTCCACTGCTAGGAGGAGGAGTCCTCATGAGATGCAGGATCTTTGTTCTTCGAAAGTGCTGCTTACTCCTGATGAAGAGTTAGACATGTGAGCTGTTACAGTTGGTTTAGCAGGGTCCCACCAATTTGAAACCTCATCAGTTAAATGTAAAAAGGCATATCTGATACTAAGGCAGGCAAGATTTTTTGAGTAGAGGTGATATCTTTTATTAGACCAACTGAATAGTTGGAAAAAAAAGTTCTTAGCAAGCTTTCAGGTGCAATCACTCTTCTTCAGGCATAGGCAGTCTCTGCTGGTCTGAGACACCAAGGAATGAGAGAAGCTAAAAGTGTGGTAGGATGTCAGTGAGCATGTAAATAGGTAGAAATTTGAAAGACAAAAGGTAAAGTAGGGAAGGGAGGCAGACGAAAGGGGGAGGGAGGGGGGGAAGGCCAAAGGGAGACATTACAGTGATAGAACACAAGATAGAAAAGAGGCTGTCTCTGAAAAAGGAAATAGTCCTTTTATATCCCGTACTAAGGGTTTCTGCCCATTTTTGTAATTTCACAATCATACTTTTCTGCTTTTTAGGAAAAAAAGGGTTAAATCAATGTTGTTCCAAAATGATCCTAGTGTCAGTCAAAGTGAGTACATGACTGCACTCTGCTCACAAAGTGAAATCTTTGTGTGTTTGTGTGTGTGTGGGGGGGGGGGACGGGGATATATTTGCAATATCTTTAATGCAAAAAATTCTATATACAAATCATCGTGAGTAAAATTACAGACAGGAACAAAACAGGATCATATAAATTAGAAACAGAAATAATCTACTAAATCATCAATCCATCACCTTGCAACAACAAGAAAGTGTCCCTCGACAGACAACAGGAGAGGAAGGGAGAGATCCTTGAAGATTAATTGTATTCTAATGTATAAACTTAAATGAACCATAACCACTTTGTTGCCTTATTGAAAATATGCTGCTGTAATAGTGTATAATGCAAATAACCTGTCAAACCAATTTATATAATTAAATTTTTTTTAAGCATGGTTTTAGGCTAATGCATGTTGAATCCTGGCATACAGGAAGTTAATTTATGCTCTGCACAGAGGTCTGTAACAGTTAGCATGTGGGTATTCTTTAGATCCAATCTTGCAATGCAAGTGTCCGTGAAAGGACTAAGTTATGTGAAAGATTTATCAGGACAAGGCCTTAAGGTGATACTGGACAAGGAAAATGGACTGCAGTGAGAGCAGGATACAGCAGAAGGGGTAACAGCAGATGACCCATCACCTTGTAAGCTCATATTAAAGTTCCCAGCATGATCCATCTGTCTGGCAGAGGATTTACTATGGCACCCATCATCAAAATATCCAAATATCTTGCCCTCTGCTTCCATTTACATTCCACATTAATTTTCTGATTACTCTGCCTTCCAAATACCGCTATAAATTAAAACTTGGAGGGCAGATCAATTACAGTCTACTACTTGGAGGGTTTTATAATTCCTCAGTAAAAATACTGCTTTTGGGCTGAAACTTGACATCGGAGGGATTTATGCTAAAGGAGGAAAAAAAAACAGCATATTTGAGAAAGAGGGGGAAATGGCTGATCTTGTTTTTATTCCACGAATCCCCCTGCTTTAACTGACCACTCTCAATAATCCCAGAGGATTCCAGCTCCATTTGGTTTAATCTTTAAGGATCATATCTGGTAAACAGTGGAGATATATATATATTTGAAATGAAATCTTCATATTTTCCCAAGCAGGAAGCAACTGTGACCCCCTGAAACCTGAGACACTGCCCCTGCCTTTGTTTCAAGGTATTTGCATCATCACAGAACCTCACAAGAGGTGGGAGACTCCATACCAGCTATGAACTGGCTGCCCCAAGGAGTTTTCCATCTATTGACTCCTCTGTGAAATCCTATGAAATATGAACTTTCATTTCTACCCAGGAGAACTTTTACAATCTTTTCTCTGATGCCTGATGAAGGGTGTTTGTGCCCAAAAGCTTGCAATGAAAGAATTTCTTTTGCAAAAGTCTTGTTGGTCTAATAAAAGATATCATCTCTACTACCAGTCTTGATTGCTTTATACACACACACACTTATGTCCCCTGGGTGGCTTCTTAAGACCAGTGTCTCTTTCTCTCTCTCTCTCTCTCTCTCTCTCTCTCTCTCTCTCTCTCTCTCTCTCTCTCTCTCTCTCTCTCTCTCTCTCTCTCTCTCTCTCTCTCTCACACACACACACACACACACACACACAGAGTTTTAGAGTAGCCAGGACAGGCCACTGCCCATCAATTAGCTTTGGGCAGTCCTATCACAGACTTAGGATGAAGGGAGTTTCAGTTCACCCTATGTGTATAGACTATGTTTGTGTGTGTATACCAAGGTGCATGTGTGCATATACTAAGGTATGTATGCATGTAGACACCAAGGGGGGGGTGCGTGTATACTGAGATGTGTGTGTATATACCAAGGTGTGTATGTATGTAGATACCAAGGGGGAAGGTGTGTGTGTGAACACACATGTGCCTATACCAAGGTGGGCAGTGTATGTACCGGTACCAAAGGAGGGAAGGAGGGAGGGGTGTGTGTATATATGTGTGTGTGTATACCAAAGTGTGTATGTATGTATATACCAAGGTATGCATGCATGTAGATACTGAGGGGGGTGCTTGTATACCAAGGGGTGTGTGTACATGTGTGTGTATACCAAGGTGTGTATGTATATACCAAGGCGTATGTGCGCGTATACCAAGGTATGCATGCATGTGGATAGCAAGGGGTGCGTGTACGTGTGTGTATACCAAGGTGTGTATGTATATACCAAGATGCACAAGTGCATCTACCAAGGTAGGCATGCATGTAGATACCAAGGGGAGAGGGAGTGGTGTATGAACACCCATGTCTATACCAAGGTGGGCAGTGTGTGTGCCGGTACCAAAGGAGGGAGGGGCGTGTGTGTATACATACCAAGGGGTGTGTGTGTATGCACGTGTCTACCCCCCGCCCCCGC